GGGGGGGGACCAGTTCGAGTTCGAGTTCGAATTCGAATTCGAATCGACGACAGCGATTTTGGAGTTCGACTCTTTCTATTCGTCCACTGGGTTGACTTCTAACAGTTCCAGTTCGAGTTCGAGATCGAGTTCGAGATCGAGATCGAGTTCGAGTTCGAGTTCGGTTCCTTCCATATATATCCTTTCAAGGTTAAGTCCATCAATACTGTATAACTGTTTCAGTTCGAGTTCGAGTTCGAGTTCGAGTTCGAGCGGGGCACACTATGCAGATGGCAGAACATATGCTCCAATGAAAGATGTATTGCTTCTTGGGGGGAAAGAAGCCTTCAGAGGAGTTGGATGCGGATCAGGACTGGTGGATCCGCGAAGGACGAGCCTCTCTACTTGGCAAGCGCCGGTGGAAGCATGAACGCCGGCCTGTGCATTGTGACGACGATCACCACGAAGGATTTCGGACACAGCTGAGGTCTGTTGCATTCCCAAGGATGAGAAGCAGCTTTGCCCGGTGCAGGACACCAATGCAGGCTAGCCAAGCGCGTGCTGAACAGGTGTCCAGAGTCCACTGACAGTGCATCATCATCCACCTGAGTCAAAGGTGCCCAATCGCTCGACAAGCAAGTTTGACAGCAGTTGCTGGTTGAGCTTCCATCGAGCAAGTCCAGACTCAGAGACGGCGAGAGTGGACACGCTGTTGGACAGGGCAGGAAGATGAAAAGCAAATTGCTTCCTGCATATATCCACCAGGCGACCCTTAGGGCCTTTGTTACAAAATATGTCAAATTATGGTGAAGTCAAAAGAGACCTGGAAAGGAGGCAGTGGGCAGCGGGCATTAAATCTAAGAGTCAGGTCTGAAGGTCTATAATATAAACACTGGCACTCCACGCGTTTCTCAAAACACCCAAAAGCGTTGGCGCCTTCTTTGCACCTAGATCGCTGTGGCCTCCTCCACCCAGCAGGTGCCTGCAGCGCTGCTGCAGAGCCAAAGCGATGCAGCAGCACCTGCATGTCGCATCATGTGTAACATCATGCAAATGACTGTTGAAAGGAAACAACTTTGGGTCTCAGTGGTTGTCAAAATGGCTTTAGCAAGGCGAAGCTGTGGGTTTCGATGCTTTGGCAGCAGCTCGTCAAGCAAAATGCTGCAACCGAGCAAAAATGTTTTGGGTTTGGCATGGTTTGGTTAATGAGAGCGTGCAACCCATGGCCATTCGTTGATGCTGTCTGCTGTCTGGACCAGGTGAAAAACAAATGCACTCAGGCTCAATCGCTTGAAATGTCAACGAAGTGCTGAGACCTTTGGCACCTCATCTATCTCGGCACCAAGGCCTGCAGCGCCACTTCCTGCACTTGTAGGCGCATTTCAAGTTGAAAGCACCCAACGCGTCACAACGGCGTTCTCATATAAGTATATATATATATATTCCCTCCCTGTGCCTTGTGCTGACCTGGATTCGGTGGTCTCACACAGGGCAGCCATTGCCAAGCCTTGGACGAAGCGAAAACTGAAGCTGCCTTCGGGATGCAACAATGCTGACTGGCTGCGAGGACAGTCAAAGAAAAAGACACAGGGCCAAGCACGGAAGGGCAAAAGGGGAAGGCCCGCAAGCTAAGCTTGACAATTTGTTTCTAAATTGGAGCTGGATGCGGTGACAACTGTGAGAAGAACTGCGAAGATCAAACAAAACACCTGTGGAAGTCTCAAAACATCCATCTTCTGACTACCTTTGTAGGTAATTAGGATGCAAGTTGTGCTTGTACGCAACAGCGTGACGACCGAATGTCATGAGAACATGTGAGAACCATCTCTATATATAATATTTTTCCGGAGTGCGTAGCGAAGGGTTCTCGTTTAACTTGGGAGTCTGAGGGTAGAGCTCTGTTTGCCCGGCGTTGTTTTCGAGTTCGCAACCGTTTGCAACCGTCCGTATGATGTCTCTATGGCCCTGCCATTGGAGGAAGCTTTTGCAAGTGACTTTTCATGGATGTGTCACGTGTCAGTTTGCGCCGCTATTGCATTGTGATTTGCATGAAAATGACATGTCGCGCAAGAAGCGTGATGCATTTCGCTGCACAGGCGCAGGGTTTTGTGAGATCCGCAGTTTGCTGCGCAGTTCCATTGGTATTAGCGTTTGGAGAGTCGTGTTTTTGGGGTGTTGGATGTGGCCGCGCCATTGGGATTTGCGTTTCAGGGTGTGGCATCGAAGCTCTGTTTTCGTGACAGGTCTCAGCTGAAATGGCGATTTTGGTGGATGGGAGTGTGCTCAGAACGGGTTGGAATCATTCCAAACGTGTGGCGTGGTGCAAATTTTGTTGAAGCTCACATGAGATGATATTGTCACTTTTCGTGGCAGGCGCAGTACTGTGTGCTGGTTTTGAGGGGTGGAAGTGCGATTTTCGTGGCAGGCGCAGGGAATCGTGAGGTTGCGAGGTGTGACGGAGGTGACATTTCGTGGCAGGCGCAGTACTTTGTGCGCGTTAGACGTGTGGACGCGGAAAGATTCGTGGCAGGCGCAGGGAATCGTGAGGTTGTGAGTTGTGGTAGAGGTGAATGTCGCTGTCACATTGGGATTGGCGTGTGAGTGGGTGTTGTTTGGAGTGGCTGGAATCGCGAAACTGCTTGGCAGGGCTGCGTGATGTGTGTGCTCCGATGGGTGTTTCCGCTTGACTTTGGAGGAAGAAGTCTCGTACGAAACGCTCGTATTGCAGACTTTGACGTGTGAGTTTTTGAGGAAGTCTCGTACGAAACGCTCGTTTTGGACCCTTGACACGTGACTTTTGGAGGACATCTAGTACGAAACGCTCGTTTTGGAGACTTGACGTGTGACTTTTGGAGGAAGTCTCGTACGAAATGCTCGTTTTGGAGACTTGACGCGTGACTTTTGGAGGAAGTCTCGTCGCGTACGAAACGCTCGTCTTGCAGCCTCGAAGCGTGACTTTTAGAGGAAGTCTCGTACGAAGCGCTCGCGTGACTGCTTCTAGTGTGTGGGCAGACCGTGTGGCGACACGACGTTCGTGATGTCACAGTGCCATTGGGATTTGCGCAGCCTTGGTGGAAAGTGCGTTTGCGTGGCGCCGTGCCACTGGGGAGCGCGAAACAGGGTGGCGTAAACGCGGCGTGTCACTGGTGAGCGGGGTGATTTGTGGTATCATGTGATATGTTTGCTTCAAGTGTGTGGGCAACCGTGTGGCGACGCGACGTTCGTGTTGCAGTGCCTTTGGGTTTGCGCGGCCTTGGTGGAGAGTGCGTCTAGCAAGAGTGTCTAGCAAAGAGTGTCAAGAAAGAGTGTCTAGCAAGAGTGTCTAGCAGAATGTCATTTCAAGAGTGTCCAGCAAGAGTGTCTAGCAGAGTGTCCTGCCCAGCAAGAGTGTCCAGCAAGAGTGTCTAGGAGTCTAGCAAAGAGTGTCCAGCAAGAGTGTCTAGCAGAGTGTCAAGCAAGAGTGTCAAGCAAGAGTGTCTAGCAAAGTGTGCCAAGCAAGAGTGCCAAGCAAGAGTGTCAAGCAAGAGTGTCTAGCAAAAAGTGTCCAGCAAAGAGTGTCAAGAAAGATTGTCTAGCAAAGAGTGTCACGAGAGAGTGTCAAGCAAGAGTGTCCAGCAAGAGTGTCTAGCAGAGTGTCAAGCAAGAGTGTCCAGCAAGAGTGTCAAGCAAGAGTGTCAAGAGAAAGTGTCAAGAAAGATTGTCTAGCAAAGAGTGTCAAGAAAGAGTGTCAAGCAAGAGTGTCGTGTCCAGAGTGTCCAGCAAGAGTGCGAAGCGAGAGTGTCCAGCAAGAGTGTCAAGCAAGAGTGTCAAGAACAAGTGTCAAGAAAGAGTGTCTAGCAAAGAGTGTCAAGAAAGAGTGTCTAGCAAGAGTGTCAAGCAAGAGTGTCCTGTCAAGAGTGTCAAGCAAAAGTGCCCAGCAAACGTGTCAAGCAAGAGTGTCTAGCAAAGAGTGCCCAGCAAACGTGTCAAGCAAGAGTGTCAAGCAAGAGTGTCTAGCAAAGAGGGTCAAGATAGAGTGTCTAGCAAAGAGTGTCTAGCAAAGAGTGTCAAGAAAGAGTGTCCAGCAAGAATGTCCAGCAAAGAGTGTCCAGCAAGAGTGCCCCGCAAAGAGTGTCAGGCAAGAGTGTCAAGAAAGAGTATCAAGAAAGATTGTCTAGCAAAGAGTGTCAAGAGAGAGCGTCAAGCAAGAGTGTCCGGCAAGAGTGTCTAGCAGAGTGTCAAGAACAAGTGTCAAGAAAGATTGTCTAGCAAAGTGTGTCAAGAAAGAGTGTCTAGCAAGAGTGTCGTGTCCAGAGTGTCCAGCAAAGAGTGTCCAGCAAAAGTGCCAAGCAAGACTGTCCAGCAAGAGTGTCATGAAAGAGTCTCCAGAAAGAGTGTCTAGGAAAGAGTGTCCACCAAGAGTGTCAAGCAAAAATGTCTAGCAAGAGTGTCTAGCAGAATGGCATTTCAAGATTGTCCAGCAAGAGTGTCTAGCAGAGTGTCCTGGCAAGAGTGTCCAGCAAGAGTGCCCAGCAAGAGTGTCAAGCAAGAGTGTGTAGCAAGAGTGTCAAGCAAGAGTGTCTAGCAGAGTGTCCTGGCAAGCGTGTCCAGCAAGACTAGCAAAGAGTTCCCAGCAAAATTTCAAGCAAGAGTGTCAAGCAAGAGTGTGTAGCAGAGTGTCCTGGCAAGAGTGTCCAGCAAGACTAGCAAAGAGTTCCCAGCAAGAGTGTCAAGCAAGAGTGTCTAGGAAGAGGTTTTGATTGATACACGTTTGTGCCCTTTGCATTGTCCTCTATACATGAGTGACTGCATTCGGGTTCGTGGGTTCTATCAGGCTTTTATATGGTAGCGGTATGTAGCGGTCGTAGCGTACGGCGCAGGTTTCCGCTCAGTGACGTCTTTGCAAGACCGTATCGAAATGAAGCCACGAGCAGCGCTGGCGGATCAGTTCGCTTGCCGGTTGTTGGGGCACTTCCTTCAGTGGCACCGCCAAGTAGAAGTCGTTCATCTCCAAGGTCCACTCCGCTGAGACCTGAGGCGTCACAGGCATCGTTCGATCTCCGAAACACCAGGGCTCTGAAGAGGGAGGGGACTGAGTAGGGGCCATAGCCGCAAAGCGACGGCTTCTTGTGGTTCTGGCGGGTCTGGAAGATGAGAAGTTGAAGAGATCCTTAGGAAAGCTGCCTGATAGTCGAAGGTCTCCAGCAGCAAGACCTCGCAAAAAAAAAAAGTTACCACAATTGCATCGTTGATTGGTACTTCAATTGGGACAGAGAATGACAAACATGAGCGATGCTTCTTAAAAGGCCTGTCCAAATTCGTTCCAGCTGTATGGAGCTGTCATCACTGGGCGCCTCCAGCAGGTGCCTTTGCAGATCGAATCCTAGTTGCTGTCGCCTTGCTGCGGCAGGTATGCAAGCACGCATCGGAGATGGTGATTTGGTGGAAATCTGTGAGAAGAAGTTCTCCTGCCGGCAGGTATGCACGCCCGTTCCACCAGCGGCAATCGAACGTAACCCTGAATACATCCATTATATACAGCATCTGGATGATCAGGACTACATCCGTTATATACATCCATGATTTACCTGAATCGGATTTGTGCCCGTGGATGTGCCAGTGTAAAAATTAAAGTGGACTCACGAACTCTGTAGCACCTGCAGTTCTTTGACGTCATTGACGGGCAGCAGCAGAAAAAGCATGGAGAGTACTGGCCAGAAGCTGGATGAGAGCTGCTTGTTGCTGGATGCGGCCTTGACATATTCCACCACAGCTGTGAACCTTGGCCCGACTTGGTAAAGCAGCTGCATCCAACAACTACACATACACACACAGATTCAGTTGTATAGTATACCCGGCTCTGTCCTCTCACAGAGGTCACAAGAGCACGAAGAAGAAACGTGCAAATTCAAAAGGCAGCTTGGATACTGCGCCAAGAGTTCTGGTGTGCATTGATGTCGATCTAAAGCAGGCAACAACTCGACAATGCCTGGACTGGCAAGTGAGCACTGCATCTCGGGGCACAACAAGCTGCACCACCTGGCTGCGGGGCGGTAACAGTTGTGAACCAGGAGGCCAACATGACTCATGTCGTATCAAGATCCGAACATGATAATTAAGTGCCAAAGGTTTGCAGGATTGATTATTGAATATTATTGATGATGATTGTCTTGCTCGGCTGCCCTCCTTCTGCAGAGTGGGATTGATTCTGATGTCATAGTCATGAGTCATAGTTATTTGTGTCCAGAAGATCTTATTTGCGTTCATCCGTTTCTCAAAGGCTCAAAGCCAAGAGACACAGGAAGCGAAATTCGTTGACCCAGCCGCGCCCAGCCATGTGTATTGAGCAAGGCTGCAAGAGCAGTGTGCAAGGCTGGGAGCTCCTGACACAAAGCGAGGCAACTCAACTCCAGAGCTTGAGTTGGACTGCTGTGACTGGGAGGGTGGAACAGGAAGTGAAACACAATGGAAATAGCAGCCTGGGCTTCCAGAACCCACACATTGCAAAGACACTGCCATTGCTACGTTCTACCCACAGGAAAGCAGGCCAACAAACAGCCATGTCCTTGCAGCCCTTTTAACAGCCACTTTACACGACACGACGCCCATAGCCGGTCCATCTCCACCCGGGCTTTCGACAGCTGCCGCAACACAGCAGCCAGAAGCTGCACTAGCAATGGGTCACTCAAACAGTGCTCCCGCTCTGCAAAGCGCACAAGACACCTCCACGTTGGAAGTCTGGTATGGTAAGGATGTCAATCAAAACAAGTGTTTGAAGAGGTTTCTGTGGAAGCCTGCTCTTGGCAGATTCTAGAATATAGCTGTTGCGAATCAATTGTAACGGCAAAGGGCTGTGATTCTCACAGCGACGTCCGACAATGGAGGAAGGTTGGGCACAGCATCCGGCGTTGCAAAAGCACCTACTAACAGTTACTAACACGAAACAGCTGAGCTCAACGCAAAGCCCATGGCAAGCATCGACGGTCCAATTGCGTGCAAATCTCGTTTGTCGCGTCGGTTGCAGATCCATGCGATTGCCTCGGAGCATCTCATGGACACATAAAGGGTTCGCACGGCCACCGCACGCACACGGAACGCAGGAACGCAGCATGGAACAGTATGGAACAGATATCCAAGTCCTTCTGTTGCTCAACAACTCGGGTCAGAACAAACAATAGGAGAACTCATCATTCCTGGTTCCTATCCCGTAGGCTTGCACCGCTTGCTGTATCTCATTTGATATTAAAGCAGCTAGTCTGAGAACAGGGTTGAACAAATGAAAAAACATATGGCCGGTAAATGGTGCATTCATCGCAATTCCATGGGGGCCCGCTTCTAAATCTCCTTTAAACTCCAACCGCACTCAAACCACAGGGATGTTAAACATGAAGGCATGTCAACTGCAAAAACTGTGAGAGGTGTCTAGCGTGGACCTTTTCAGGGGCCTGCTCCTCCTGCTGCTGCTGGACTTCTGCAGTTGTTTCATGTTGTGTCCAATTGTTGTTCTCAGAAGTCTTCAGAACGACATAGGACGGATGTAAGGGTTGACTCAAAAGATTTGAGTAGGGGGGCCTTGCAACTCTGGTGCACCCTGCAAAGACCTCACATCGCACCTTGGCTGCTGTACCTAGTTGGGCACTGAAGTGCCGCCGTTTAAACATACCAACTGCAAAACTTATCAAACTGGCTCCAAATTTCTAAAGTGCTTTTGAGTTCCTCAACTGCTATCGAGTTCTTTTGCACTAGTCACTAGTCACTAGGACTTTTCCACTTGTACATAGAATTTGTCCAGCATGGAGGATCACAACACAGCTGTACCACCTGAACATACCTCGATGTCAACGCACAGCCGGAGCTCCAAAGCAATGCTGCCATCAAGTCTGCCAAGCGGGTGCGCAGCAGTGTACTGCGGTCTTTGGCACCGCGCCAACGGCTCTGCTCCACACTAGCATTGGCACGCGCATGGAGATCTAAAGTCTCGGTCACCAATGGCAGGAGAGTTTGTGCCTGCTACAGCGCTTGGCGATCAAGTGAAAAAGGTAGGCCACTGTTGTGTGAGTTGTGTGCATAGAAAAGAAGGAGGCTCCACAACCTCCCATAACACACATGCACAAGGTCATAATGAAACGCGCTGCAAAGCCGCTGAATTGAACAACCTGTTGACACGCCAAACGGAAGACAAGTTCTCTCTGAGCTCAATCACCTCAGGCTCAAAAGTATTCAAAAGCGCTGATCTGCCAGGACTGCTCCAATCCTTTCATAAAAGCTTTTGCACTTGTTCCACGACGCTAGTTTGATCCATACCCTAGCTTTCCAGAAGATTTACTTGCGTTTATTAAAAACTTTAGCCGAAATGACGACGACAAAGAGAAAAATCTCGTGCTCGCCACTGGCTACACGCAGGTGTTCTGGATCATGTGTCCCTAACGAAGGCCTCTCGCTTTGGCAAGGTCACACCCAAGTTCAAAGCTAGCCGCAGCACAAGTTCCTAAGTTGCTTATTTCGCCAGGACTGCTAGGACCCGCGGCTGCGCAAGCCATAAATTCAGAAACACCCGAAACACGCAAGTCATAAGACACCCAGCACCGAGCATCCAGTTGATCTATATTCTGCGGCTGTGTCGGCCACGAAGCAGTAACTTTTCCCAGCAACATCTCTAGGTGCCGTGTGAGCCAGTCTCTGAACGCGAACGGAGCACGAAGGGCCGCAGCTGCCAAGCAGTTTGCTGCGGCTTGCCCGCAGCTCTGCCTCAACCAAAGCCCAACATGTTCACACCTTCATGATCAATCATTCATTGTGCAGTGCTGCCATGGGCTTGGTGGCACTTCAGCAATACTGACATGTGGGACATCCGTTGACGCATCGTGACATGTTCAACACTGTGTCAGGTTGGGGCCATCAACACGCAACCCTGTCTCCAGAAATCGTGCTCTCTGAGACATGCTGGCCAACTCCCATTCCGAAGACCTCACAGTGTTTCACCAAGTTGCAACAACGCCAATGACCGCTCACAAATGAACGGCAAGTCCCCCACAATGTCACCATCCAAATGGCGACACAGATTGGCTGCAGCATCCAAAGCGATGCCTTGTGTGCGGGAACTGCCGGACACCTGGCAGAAATCATTTACAGTATGCTCGCAAGCGATATCGGGTTTGCAACCCAACATCCATTGTTTGACATTCTATATTTATCACCAGACTCAACTTATTCCGGTTTTTGGATCGGTTCTTCGAGCCTCCAACAAGGGTTTCCAAAGTCGCTTCACAGCGCTGCCACGGAGCTCTAGAAGTGCTCCATGCTCTGCTGCTTCTGACAGCGCTGCGGCAGCTTTGCCTCAATTGAAGAGCATCCCCAGCAGGCCACAAGAGACGTGATACAAACATGGTCAGAAGCAAAGTCCGCATTCATCAACTGCAGTATCGCTCAGCAAATGCGTCTTGCTGCGGTCTCTAGGTCTCTTTGCATTGGGGGACCAGCACACTTGGCCAGTTCCAATCCAATAGGACAACAAACAGCTTCTGGTAAAACCCACCATGTTCTATGAGGGGGCCTTGGGTACGGTGCAAAACGAGTTCTTCCACCCTGGCAAAGCAATGAGACAAGGCATCCGCAGCATAAAAAGGTGCTGTGCATGCCATATCCTGCCGAGCTTCAAAAATAGAACAATGACTCCGGCTGCTTGGCTCCCACAATCTCGCTGCCTCAAATGCGTTGGCTGCAGGCCAAACAAGCACAACTTTGGAAGGGCTTGAAGACTGAGGGACCTCCCAGGGACGATCAGTCTGAAAAGCGAGAATCACCGCAACTCCTCTTTTTGCAGGCCGTTGCGGTGACGAGTTTGTTTAGAATCTTGTGTGTTCGCTTGTTTACTCCATTGTCCACTCAGCCATGTGTGAAGTCTGAACCGCTCAGCATCTTACGCAAGACTTCCTCGATGTGCATCCAAATTCGCCTCAGACATACAAAAATGTAAGCCACCATCTAGGCCCGCCACAAACATGCAATTCTCAACCAGGCAATCTACACATGTTGCCATAGCTTCAAAGCCCCACTTGCAAACAAGGAGCTGTTGCGCTTTCACCAAGGGTGCGGTCGGTGCTGTTTTTCGCAACCGCCTGCGACCCATGTGCTGCAAAACCTGCTGCAACACCGCGGGACCATCGGCTTTGAAGGTGCCTTTGCGACCACCTCAGCTGTGATTCAGCAAATTGCTGTCGCGTGCTTTTCAAGAAGCGCACTTGAGGACTTCACGATGACAACTCATGGAGAAGTCGTCCTTTCCCTGTGAAAATCAAGATGTAATGTACTCTACAACTTTAACTCAGGGGTCACGTCACCTTGCAGTCAAAGCACCCGAGTCTGCAAGGTCAACTGATATCGACTGCATTGGATTTGCACAATGGTCCAGTGTTAGATTTTGCATTTCGGGTGTGCAGTCCAATAGGCCATCAGGGGTTTTGCCCATGTCTATGTCTATTCCTTTGACCAGGTCTGGCTGGAGGTTCCTCAAAACTCAACCGAGCCCGGGCCCTGCGTTTCCTCAAAGCCCAGCCTGCTTTGAAAAGGGCCTGCAACTGGCGCTTGCCATACTTCTCTAAGACTTTCAGCACTGCTGGCCAAACTTCTGGATCGCCGTCCGCCTTCTCAAGGTTTCCTTGATCCTCCAGAGGGCATGGTGCATGGTGCATGATACGACACGCCAATCAAGTCAATGTACAGCACATGGCTCATCATGATATGATATGCATGTTGCGCTTTTTGATGTTGGCACGTGCTGGCTAAAGGGCACCCAACTGGAAATTATTCACAAAGCTAAACACAGAAAACGGCCGTGTTTGTTCCCAACATCACCGATTCTCAAGAGTGAAAGAAGAATACACCCAAGCACCAATTGCAGCGTGCCGGCATTGCCCAACCAAAACGTCGCCTCTAGTGACTCTAGTGGCTAACTGGTCCAGGAACATACTTTCTGATATCAACATTGTCAATGCAAAGCAAAGCCATGCAAGAACATCTGGGCCGTCAGTCTGTTCCCTTTTCTCCATTGTCTTATGGTTTTGTGATGTCTTTTTTGGTGGCTCCTTTCAGCAACTTGGCTACTGAGGACACTAGGAGCAAAGGGCATCCCTACTAGGAGCGATCGGACGCTACGAACGGGGCTCCTGGCCTTACTACGAACGGAACAAGAAGCTACTGTCCTTTTTTGCATTCAAGAATTCTTCCTTTTGCTGCATGCCTCGGTCCACCAAAGCCCCACTCGCCTCAAGCCACCCCTTCAGTGCATCCAGTCCGGCAAAGCTTTGCGAAGCAACATCAGACTGCAATTTGTCTAGCGCATCCGCCAGAGATGTTCTCTCCATGAGATCGCCCAGCATGGCTGGCAGCAAACAGCATCCGGGAATGCATTAAAGCGTGTTGAAGCATTGCAGCCTGCATTAATCCAGCTCAGTAGGGCAAGTGGGAAGGTCAAATCTTCATGGCGAGAAGAATAAGAGTAATAATAGGATTATATGCAAGAAGTGCCCCAGAAAAGCCCTTGCCTGCTTCTTAGCTGCTTAAGCTTGGCTACCAGCTTAGCTGCTCAGGAGATTTGCTGACATTAATCTTCTGCACACTGCTTGGCAATTCCAAGGTTGTTGATCTGACTCTTGCATTTGGTCCGTGTGACGGGCTACTTCTGTTCCTTTATTATGTACCAGCTGTCAGCCATCGACAGTGACAACGCGCACCTTTTCCTGAGGTTGACAAAGTGCCCAGAACACTGGCCTGTTTGATGCTTACCTGATCCAGCCATATGTTTGCATTGCTTCGGGGAAACCAGTGCCAAGACCCCCAAACCAAAGACAGCTGGGGTGCAACTTCACGTGACAACTTCCATCATGCCCGAAGCTGTTCCAGAAAATGCAATCTTCATCTTATTCTGCAGCTGGGTATGGTTCCCGGTCCTTTTCCTGTACACTGGTTGCTTGTTTCTCTATACAGTAATTGCCTGAAGATCGATTAAAAAAAAGAGGAGGGAGTTATATTCTATATATATATATATGTGTGTGTGTGCGTGTATTTATATGTGTATATATATATATATTTATATGTGTGTGATTGTGTGTGTCTATGATACTTTAGAAATATATATAGAGAGAGAGAGGGAAAGACGCGTTTCTCTCACGTGGTTTCCTCCTTTCTGTCTCCTCACCACGCGTAGACCGGTCGGGCCTCTGGCACCACTGGCTCGCTGCAGCTCTCGCGGCCACCGAGCATAGTAAGCCGGGCCTGGCAGCCGATCAGTTGCAACTTCTTCCCAAAGCCACTTGTTCTCTGCGTTCGTTCGCTATGTTTGCCCGCACAAGTAGGCAATATTCAATATTCATCTGACCTTGTTCCTAGATGCGGGTGAAACATGTTGAAATTAAATAGTCCGATAAGTTGCCTTTCGTCAACCAGCTGCTAAAGGGCCCCGGCCCCAGGTGAAGACGTAACTGGGCCCGTCCACACCTGGAGATGCACTTAAACATTCGTGACAACTTCTGTATCGGGCCATTCTGTAGCATGGTGTTGTTACAAACTTGCCAACCATGCCAAGGCCTTGCTTCAAACAAAAATAATCTCAAGCCAGCCATAGCCAGCCTCTGAATGTATACAAGCTAGGTAAACGCAAGAACTAGAATAATGCCGATGAATGCATCTGATCTTTTTGATGCCAGGGCCGAGACCAGTCACCCCGCCCACTTGCCTAGCTGCACTTTGTCACCACTCTTCATGACCAAAGCAGTCCTTGTTCGATCAAAATGATGAGACTCTAGACTGAATATGCTTCAGGCAGTGCTTCAGGCTTAAGGGGAACCCTGAGCAGCCACTAGGCAGCAAGCGGCCAGTCCACCCTGGTGGTTCTGAATCTAGACTGCTTTGCTAGAAAAATGCCACTCAAAGAATGTCGCTCGAATTTGCTGAACATTTCTGTGAGAAGTGAAGAACCCAACCCAGCAACTCTGTGGTCGTTCAGGAATGTTCCATTGCCTCAGCAATCAACTGCTGCCGCGATGAGCAAGCTTCCAGCGTGCTAAGTGGAAGGATTAGAATCACTGAATTCAGTGGAAATGCTTGATGGAATCAAGCTCAGTTGCCAACGAGACCCGATGTCGCGAATACTTGCAGTGCCGTCCGACGCAAAGCCTTACACGAACTCTTCGCTGGCTCTTGGTGTGCAACCGATGCATCACTGCAATTCTTGGCCTTTCAAGGCAAAAAGGCACTATATAATGGCACAGGCTGAGATCAAGTGTCGTAGGGCCACTGCTGATGCACATATGGCGATTGGAGATTGCCTGCAACGGGCAGTGTGTAGAAGTTGGGCACGTGGCATTGTTTTGAGCCAGTATGGGTCCAAGCCCTGGCAGCCCAGGTCGCACAAAACCGTCATTTTAACACTGATTTGAGGAGAACCTTTTTATGGTTGTCTTTGTTCTGTATGGTACTGTATGTATGTTCGGTTCATGCTGGGCTCGGCCCTTTTGCAGCTATAAGCGATTCATGATGTGGAGGAACTGGCTGTAATTCACTGTTCACGGTTTATCGGGCGTCGCCTGTGAGCCCGGAATGCAGGTGTCACACGCCTCAAAATCACCAGCTCCAGCAGGATCAATGATATCAATGCTACATACATATATATTATATATATACAGTATTATATCGGTTGGCAAGTTCAGTCCATGTCGACTCCAAGGGCACGCTCCGTCCTTGCTCCTAGTAGCGATGCCAGGAGCCACTAATAGCGTCCTTGCTCCTGGTAGCGATGCCCTTTGTTCCTAGTAGCTTCTTTGCTCCTAGTAGTAAGGCCAGGAGCCCCTAGTAGCGTCTCCATGCCGACTCCAGGCGGACGCCCCAGTTCAACCAAATCTCTAATGGATCAATCCTCTTGGTTTGTGGCAGTGCTTCGGCCAATGACATTCTCGAGACCTGCAAACTGTCACTCCGAGTCACGTATGTCACGATATTATCATACACTTTTTTCTTTTTGCTGTATATAACTTGAAACTCGTCTCAGCCAAAATAGGGTACGTGCAGTCAATGTCACCATGTTACACCTAAATTGAATATATATTGAAATCTGACGAAAGTCTCGCCCGCCAAGCAAATTGCGCGTACCGATGGGCTTCCGCCAAAACAAGACATGTACGCTCTGGGATATGACTACAGTCTGCTACAGTGTGGGCATTTCACGCCTGGAAGCTCAAAAAGCTCTCCTTCAGATCCTCGGAGTACCGCATAGGCCTAAGTCAGCTGACATATGAATGTGTTCTCTTTCTCTTTCGCAGGTCGGAGGTATTGCTGTCGCATTGGCGAGCATTGAGACTTTGAGACTGGGGATCCATCAGACCGTCCACAGAATAACCCCCGGCAGCAACCGTGGTCACGGTTTCGACCGGTTTCGACATGTTTCGACTGAAAACCAACAAGAATCACAAGAATAGAACCTTGACACCTTTGCTGGGATCTGGTCGTTCTCGCTCACATCCGGCATTGGGTCCGGCGGTGGAGGCGGCGGGGCACTGAGCAAAGCAGCGAATGTGTTCAACCAAGTGCCCGTTTGGGGGGACCTGCATTGCCTCAGTGCTTAAGCTTGATCTCGAGCTAGCTTGAAGTCTCAAACGCATAAGCTTAAACTTATGAAATCAGAACGTCAACAAACGAAAAAAAAAAAAACTCCATGTGAGACGGTAAAGAAGCTCCACGTGAGACAGTTGCTCCCATCATTCGCCTTGGTGGTGTGGCTGGGCGCCGCTGAAGGCCTTCCATGAGACGATGAGCAGCTGCCTGGGGTTCAGCAGCTGGTTAGGTGTTTGTCAATCTTTGGAGATCGCAAGCCAATCTTGGCATCTATCTATATCTGTCTTGGAGTGGGACGGCACACGGCAGAGCGCTGATGCCGGTTAAATCATACCAGGCCATTTGCCCATACTAGCTTCTTGTTACTACTAGTAAGGCACCTGTTACTACTAGCGTGGCACTTGTTCCTAGTAGCGTGGCAGCTGTTACTACGAGTTCCCTCATCATCTGGCCCATGAGTTGCCTCCGCTAGCTGCGGTACTTCTTGCCGGAGCCGCGACACAGCACTCTGCACCTGCACCGCGCCCATGGTGCAGCCAGGCACGTTCACTGGAGGTGTCCCAGGCCAGGTATAAAAGGACTATACGGCTCACCAAGGCTTCCTGCCTTGCATGCGCGCCCCCAGCGCACTTCGTGGTTACAGTATATGTCTGCGTGTGTATGCGTGGGTGCGTGGGTGGGTGGGTGGGTGGGTGAACATGACCTTTTTGCCTGAGGAGTCTTTTTAAGGTTGAAGTTTCAGGGTTCTTCATTCCTCGCAAGGAGGACGGAGAGCATCTGAAAGCGGCTCTGTATTGAATGCGGAGCCTTTATTTTTTGGAATCCAGGTTTAGGTTCATGACATGACTTGCCTTGGGACATTGAGTTTGTCAGGTCTTCAACCCCACCAAGCCTGCATGAAGAGGAGATGCAGAGAGCAAGAGGGCAAGAGAGGGGCAGAGAGAGAGAGAGACAAACAAAGGGAACCCCCCTTGCTCATGCAAGCATATTACACAGGAAGGCTTGTTGCTTGTCAAGGGGGAAACCGACGAGAACATTGATCTCATTGCACCTCCGAAATTTGGCACCCGAGGCGGCCATGATCCTGAGACGTCCGATGGAAACCCTTACGTATAAGAGATCTTAAGACCCTGAAAACGACCAAAAGCCCTATGGGCCCTATGAAATAATCATCGAATCATCATGTCATAACGCACTGCAGCAACTGTGATGGTGCAAAAAGCTGGAATGGTTGATTGTTGTTGGGATAGCGGGGTACCCCCTCCTAGGACACACCAGTTTGCCAAGCCGTTTCTCAACGGTTGTCCAAAAATGGAAACGATGCATGGATCGAACTGCGATTCCAAAGAAGCCAGGACCCAAACATCATGCAGCTTTTGCATCCTTAGCAAAAGCCACTCGGATCAGTGTGCTTTGCACTTTCTAGTAGCCATGCCAGGAGCCCCTAGTAGCTTCTTGTTCCGTTCGTAGTTAGGCCAGGAGCCCCGTTCGTAGCGTCCGATCGCTCCGTTTGTAGCGATGCCCTGTTGCTTGCCACGCAGCGTCTAGGCCCAGTCTCTGGGACCCCTGCTGCCGCTGCATCTCGAGCCGGGCTGAGGCCTTGGTCTTCTGTGATCTCTTGCCATGTGCCACTGAGTGCCACAGGTTCTTTCATGGTCTCTGTCTTTTATCAATTGCCACCCTTAATTTCAACTGCAACACTTATCCCTCTCAAATCCTTGAGCAAGCATTCAATTTTGTCCCTTTCGGCCCTCTTCCCACCGAAGGATGGGCATTGGTCCACATAATAGAGACTTGCCCTTTGCAATCCTCAATCTGTGCCTGGCCTGTGCTCAGCATGCGCAATTAAAAGTTGACGTCATGTTTCATGATAATTGATTGCATCTGCGGTGTTCGCGAAAAAGAGATCGCTTCAAGTCCAGCCATGTTGCGCACATTGACCTAAGAGCGCCAACGTGGAATGAAACAACCAGCAATGCGCACATGTTTGGTCGCTTGGGGGAGGATTTGGAAAATAAGGAAGTGCTGCATGCGTGGTCTGCTCATGTTGTACAAATTCGCATTATGCAATTCTTTGTCTCAGCCATGGCACTAAAGCGCCATACTCCAGGAGCTTTGTTACCAAGTCGAAGCGATCTTTGGCCACCGCATCATTGATTGCCACATGCCCTTGCTCATCCGCGCTGTTTGGATTCGCCTTACCTTGGTCGACCCGGACGTGTGCTGAAGCCAGGCTTTACAAAATGCGTTAAAAAATACTTAAAAGGTCAAAGTCGCTCTTCAGAAGCAGCTCGGCCGCTCCAGCATGGCCATTCTTCACTGCCAAATGTAAAGGATGCGTCCTCGTGAGATCCTCCACTTTAGGATTGGCACCCTTGTCCAGAAGCAGCCTTAGATGCAGATCCAAAAACCGCTAAGCTGTTCGACGCCTCGCGACGCCTCGTTTGCTGTGCATACCTCGTGAACACCCCTTGCTCCGTGACTGTGAGGAACATGATGCTCCCATCAGCAAACACCATCCAAGTGGTACGCTTCAGCTTACCACCCACTGGCCATTTGGTGTATGTATATATATATATACATCTCTTGTCACTTCAAGCTCAGCATGCTAGGCTATATAGTTTAAGCTTTATGCGCATTTCTTGCGATACAACCTTCTTCACCTGCCAAACAGCTGCACCACCGAGGCATAGCCCATGAGCGCAGCTGCATGCAGTGCCGTTCTGCGAGTGCCATCGCGGACTTCTGCGCTGATGTCAGCAGATTTCCGGATCCTTTTCTGGGACACGGTGAAACAACCAAATGTCGGTGGACATGAGTGAGTACAGTACATGCTCAGACAGGAAGGCGGTTGATACATGTGGACACTTGTGACACAAATTGCCTCATGGCACCAGGAAGGAAACGCTTGTTTCAATCTTTAGGAGTGCTGAGCGCATGGACCCATTCCTGGTGTCCTCATTCAGCACTCGGGGTTGAGCCCACAACTTAACAACAGTCGCCCAGAACTTTCCGAAAAAAGGCAATCATTCAAAGTGTGAAATGCCCATGAGGGTTGTACTAGTACCATGCCCTCACCTTTCCAAGTCTCAAATACTTGCAAACATCCAAATGCCCAGCATTCGCAGCTGCAATCAAGGGTGTCACTCCAATGTCTGGCTCCGGCAGATTCAAGTCCGCCTTGGCCTTCACACAGGGGGTGCGAATCATCTGCAATTGCCAAAATCAAAGGTGAACGTCACACAATGGTTTAGAGAACAATTAGCAAATGCACAATATGCTAATGTCATTCCTGAACAGTCTGGAAATCTCGGGTCTGAATTCATTGATTTTTGACTCCGTATAGCAACTCAAACGGTGCAGCATGGTGCAGTCTAAAAAGACCCTTCAGCCTGGATGAGTTCAGCAGCAACCGTCAAATTTCCCTGCTCACAAAGACGCACCAAACACTTGGAAGCCAAGGTCATGCCATCAAAATCCGGGACCTGGCGGGGCGTATGACGACAGGCTGCACGAGGAGGACAAATACCAAACCAACTCTTGTGCCTCAAGTATCCTGAACCTACTTTACTATACGTTAATACTATTTTGCATCAATTGCTACGTTTGACCTAGGGCCACCAAGAAATGTTTCACTCGTCGTCCCATGGCTCACCATGGCCCACCCACGCCTTGGAAAAATCTTGGTTTACATCGAACCCATTGTCCTCCTCCGTGGATGTAAAGCCCCGGGGCTTGGGAGCAAAGCTCTGGGTGGCGTTTCCATTTGTAATGGCTGCAGGCTTCGCATCGCCAGCTGCCACATGCTGCGCCAGTATCTTTTTGATCGTGGTCATGAACCTGCGCGTGCACACATCGCAAGCTTCTGCACTCAAAGACAAGTCAGAAAAGCTGAAATGGCACATTGGGTCGCACTGATTGCAAGCACAACTTGTCTTCTTTTGGGGAAGGAGGGGTAGGAGAGGTAGCTAGAAGTAAGAGATAACTGTTGTAGCTGGAGCTACAACCCACCGATTCAGAAGCTGTAACCTAAAGGTTGCCCCTTAATGCAGCCGAGAAGCTGGCCTTTTCGCTTCTCTACAAAACTACTTGATGCAATTCTGGCATCTTGGGAGGCCTGACGCAGCCCCTCTCCGAGCAAACCTCGCAACGTCTCCAAGAGCCTCTGAACATCGCTCTCTTCTGCGACCTTCTGGTAGTTCTCCTGGGGGCAACCCCAGCCAGCGCATCACTTGGCCACTGCTACTGATTGTGTTGAAAAGGTATATATATATAGATATATATACTGTATTTATCCGTCCATGTTTGTGCATGTGTACAGGTACAAGCAGCAAGAATCTGCTTGTGGATTTACAGTACGGGTTGTCAGGCAACTGCCGCTCAACCAACAAGCTCAAATGCAAAACAAAGTGATGTGGTAGAGGCAGAGGATAATAAGCCTTAAGCCTGCGGGGGTGTCGCATGGGAGGCATGAGTTCACAGTCTCCTGTGTGATTGCTGTCTGGCGCCACTGCTCCATAGTCAGTCCCCCAGGCCGTTCCAAGGATAGTGAGTTTTCAGCTTCGTCCAACGTCATGCCAAGGACAAGTTCATGTGTTCCTCACTTCCACCGTATTGGTCAGCATTGGGCGGCACAAGACTAGTAAGAACTAATTTTGGACCTTCGAACTCTATTGACAAAATACGGGGGGGCCACAAAATACAATTGTTGAATATATTCTCTGAGATCTCCAGATTTTTATCATCGTTTTTTTTGTCTATGTGTTCTTTTATTTACTTTTTCCAGATAGTTCTTTGCTTGTTTATAAGCCCACATGCATCAAGCACAATCAAGAATCTGAATCCAACCCATGCTTGTCCAAAAATTATTCCGGTATATAATTAAAGTGCACACAATTATTCTCAGGGCGTTGGACATCTGAATGGAGCATTGAACCAATACAAACTCAACAATTATTCCAGGGGACCCTGAGATGAAAATGATCCTGGTCAAAACTATCTAAACAAACAAGAAGAACAGAGGGTCAGGGTCCAATGGAATAATATTCCAATGGGCCCGCCATGACAAATTGGCACAAATGAACAACTTTCTTAGCAAACTCCAGGCTCTTGGATCATACACAATTGGAACATCTCCAACCTGCGTCCGTGGAACCGAGTTGGCTTCTGCCAAGCCGCAGCTGCTGGTAGACACGACTGGTATGCCTCGAAGCTGAGCCTCTGTGACGATTAAGCCAAAAGCTTGTGGATAGACGGATGGAGCGAGTAGAATCTTTGTGATGCTAAGAATGTCCTCGATCTTTTCGCTGGCTTGCTGGATCTTCACGTTCTTGAGTCTCTTGAGCATCCTTGCGTTTCTAGACTACATATTTAGAGACTGCCAAGTAGAGGTGACTGTGGTGGCACATGCTCACGATGGATAACAATTTGAGGTGTGTGTGTGTGTCAACCCCGTTCCAAAGGGTGCTGCACTTCTATGTTTTCCTTGTGGAAGCAGGGGGATGGAGAGGACACGTGAGGCTCCATCCAACGAAGCTCCTCACGTGCTCCTAGGATATCATCAGGGACGCCTGATGACGTACCTGCACAAGAAACTGTTGCTCACGCTGTCCAATCTCTCTTTTTGTTTGCATGGTGGTTCCATGATACCTCCCCGAAACCTTTCTTCCGTCAGCCACGTTCGACAGCCACTTTCAGCAGCCGCGCGTTTTCTGCAGTCATGTGCAAGCAATGTTGAACAATACTTTTCCACGGACTCTGCCACCTTTCCGTTCCATCACCATTTCTCCTGGGAATTGAGTTAACAGCAAACCAATGTCAGAGTGTGAACCGCTCAGCCGTCCCACTTGGGTGCTGGGTGTGATCCTCCGCAAGGAGGCGCTGTTTTCATTCCGGAAATCGTGTAACTGCTTCCACCGTTCTTCATCTCTCCTTGGATTATCTTAACCGCTTTAGTTTCACTACTGGATTTACTGAATTTGATGCCGTCGGGCTTACGAAATACTTCCACCTGCATCCCCACTTGCATTTCCATGTGCTGTTTTTTTCAGATTTGATTGTGACGTGCATGAAAGTTTTGCGACTTCGAATTCATTGCAGCTGCACTTTCGAGTTCACAGATGTACCAGAACATTTCACTTTCCACCACGTACGAGACATCACATTTCACATTCTACCATGTATCACCTGTTTCAAGCCTTTCATCTTCCATCTCATTTTCATGCTTGACATTCCACTCCTTCACCATTTCACGATTTCATTCCACGGGTACAAGTAGAAGAGACTTTCAGCAGCTGCCGCGCCGCGCCGGTGCCATTGAGCCGGAACCCTCACCATCACAACCTCCCACTATGGTTTCCCCACAACCACAACCACAACCAGTACCTCATGCACAACCGGCTCCATCACATCCCTGCCAGCCAACACCAATGCAATGGGACTACAGCCAGGGAGTCTGGCAACCATTTTCGGTGTTTCCGCCAGTCACCCAACCGGGACATGTTCCACCAGGCCCAGCTCAACCAAGCCAGAACCCTGCGTCGCCACTTCTTGGGCGGCACCATTACCAGGGAAGGGCAGGGACCAGGGAAGAGCATGGAATCCAGCAAAGTTTGACCCCAAATGTCAGCATGTATCATTAGTACAGTTAGCAGAGCAAAAAATTTCAAATAATAATAAAGAAAAGAAATGAGTACCTTGCATCAAATCGTAATGAAATGTGCCCAAATTGCATAAATCAACCTTGATTGGTAGCCAGGCTTTTGTTGAAATATGATCCTGGCAAGAATGAAGGTGTTTTAGTGAGTAAAACAAAAATGGTAAAGAGACAAGGAGGATATGCAAAGGATGGTGAAGGTCATGCATTGGTGTGGGTTTGCTGTGCTACAATGCACTAGGAATACAATGCACTGTGACACATGTATTGAGGAAAGCCAATGGAAGTTGGAAATGCAATACTATTCATATATGTACCTGCAACCCCTGAGTTTCATCATTTCTTTCAAACGTTTTGGAGGATATAAAACGTTGCAATCTCCCACTGTCTGTCCCTGTCTGATGCGGCGCCAACCTTTTTCCATGCCAACGACACCCTGTGATGTTCATGAGAGACTTTGCTCCAGTCTGAAATAGT